TGCCAGTTTGATCCCCGCAGGCCTCAGAGCAACCCACAATGCGAGCAGACCTCTCCTGTCTCACCTGCTGCTCGCCTCTGCAGTGTATTTCAGTCAGTCTGCCTGTTCTGTTCCCCACTCTGTCTCTGGTGAATCCTCTCACCCTTCCCCGCATCTGGACTGTACTCCTGCTCTTGTGTAAATAAAATAAATCTTAAAAAAAAAAAAAAGAAAGTCCCCTAGTGTTTAAAAAAATATTTTAAAGAAATTGTTCTTCAAACAACTTGTATTTTTAGCTGTGAGGTAAACACATTATTTAGGAAGCCATCTCAACTGACTTTTGAGGGATATCTGATGTGTTTCCTATGTGACTTTCCATTTAGTGCTTGAAGCAGTGTTGTAGTACTAGAAGGAATTGAGCAATCTCTTAAATTATTCATAAGTTCTTCCAGAATATAAGTTAACACAGATAAAAAGTGAGTTGTGATTTTCACACTAACAAAAGCTCTTTTTATCACAAGAATATTTTTATATAACCGTTAGCCAGTACTCTGGCTAAGTAATATAGTAGGAATATAAAATCAAAACTAACTAGTACTTTTCAAAAAGACATTGGCATTTTCTTTTCTACTTTTGTGTTCCTAGAGATTATACTGTACTGGAAATACACATTAGTAAAAACAAATGTATTTTATGACAAATTATTTACAGCAATATTGTGAATAAATATTCATCATAAAAGATTTCAGGCCTAATGAATAATGACAACTCTTGAGTCAAAACAATGTAACTGAAATCAGTGAATTGAAAAACATTGCTTTAGAATCTATTGATAATAAGATTATATCAAATGAGACAATATGTAAAAACGAATATCGATGATCAAGAAAAATGCGCATGTCTACACTTTAAATTTCTATTTACAAAAAACTTTTCTTGTATCTCTTTAATAGTTTGATAATTTTGAGCATTAGTAAATTCTTCTCTTAATTGGGCTGAAATCTGTCCCATGAGACTATTAAGTTCCGTGAAATCAGGGACATGTTTGCTGTCTTGAAGAGATAATGTGCCTGGCACATAGAGTAATTTAACTCAGTAAATAACCGAATAAATAAACTTGCTTTCACACCTTCATGCTATTTCTGTTTTCTGGGTCAATGAGAACATGTTGCTAAGATCCAATCAGAAGCTCTTCTATGTGATAATTCTTCAAATACTTGAAGACTTAGAAAATGTGCCTTAATCCCTTCACAGCCTCTGTTGACCTTACCTCCATATGCCAGGGTGCATGTTATAAAAAGCCTGCTCTAGACATTTTGGATAAAGCCTATCTGAATACTTTTGGGAGTCCTATCCTCCATGTATTAAAACATCTACTACCAAGGTGATGCTGAATTCAAATTCAACAAGGACAAGTACCATTGAACTCGCAGTGGCTGCAGAGCCTGTGCTCATTTGCTCTGTGCTGTACTGACTGATGCACAGTTCCCTCAGCATTCTCTTCCCTGCACTTTGGCTTCCAGACATCCAGCACAGTGGCCACCCACCCCGGATGTCATTGTCAGGACTTACATTTGTGCTGTTGAGAAATAACATGCATCTTTTTAATTCTCTTGCAGGTTTTTCCATTTTGAAAGTCTGCTCTTCTCTGTGAATTATATTGATGTTATTTTATTATTTTCATGTGTACCAGTCATAGTAAAACACTTTATTTTCTCAGAATGGGAATATGATCTCTGTTTTGTTCACTCCCCAATCTCGTGCAAAAAAAAAAAAAAAAAAAGAAACTAACTGTGTAAAAATTATTCAGGCAGAATGGAAAAATATTTGGTTTTATTTTCCTCTAAGCGTTTCTGTTTACATTTATGTGTATCATTAGTATTCTCCCCATTCCATCAGAATCAGTTACAACTAAAGCATTATTATGATTCTAGTATTACATTTAAAACATCCTCTATTTTTAAGGGCACATTTTCTAGGAATATTAGATAATCTTTCATTAAGTTTATGTTTTTTTAATTTGTCAGAAAAATCAGGTACTTTATGTTGATAAGAAATAACTGAATTTCAAAAGGAAAATTTCTCTCTAAACATTTAGATTGAATCTGGCCTTATTTTAGATTCAAGGACATATCTTGTGCCCTATATAATATCAGTTATTGGTGGAATTATTGCCACTAAAGGGACCCTGCATAAGTTTTTCGGTCACTGGCTTTCAATTTCTTTTTCTTTGGTCAGCATTGCAGTCCTTGTAAAAAATAAAATGATACTCAGAAGATCATTCTGTATAAAACAGGGGAGCTTCACTGACTGAAAGTGATGTGTTTGTGGGTGTGGTGGGAGGTGGCAAGTCCCTGCCTTCCTCTTCCTCGTTGAGTGTTGAGGAAGCTTCTCTGCCCTTCGCTGACTGCAAGGTTTAAGGTGGTGTTTTAGCCCTAGAATTGTAGAGTGAAACAGACCAAAGTAGAAGTAAGGGCACCTGGATGTCAATTCCTTCTCTGTTACCATTAGGGAGTGTGACCTTGAATATCAACTTCTTATATTTCAGGATTTTTCTTGTCTTTAAGATTACCTTCCATATTAGCTGTACCTGATTTTGAGCGAACAAGCTCAAATAAGAAATTGTTTACTAAAGATCTTTGAAAAATAAGAATTTTTCACATGAATGACCAAGAATTTTATCCTCCTATTTTTGTATTCTAGTATGTTGCTGGTGCACTCATAGTGATATTATGTGACTATATAGTATAGTCAGTTACTGTGCTGCTTATTTGATTTTTAAATTTTATATTCAAACGTAATACATGCTCGTGATTATTTAAATAACATAGAGATGTATAGACAAAATATTACTTGTCTCCATTGCTTCTATTCAAACTCAACTCCCATCTTAAGATATTCTATACTGTTTTTCTATGCTAATACAAACATTTTCTTTTCTTTTCTTTCTTTATTTCTCTTTGAAAATAAGCCATGGAGTCATGTTGTAGATACAGCATATACATAGATAGAGCATAGGTAGAGTCATGTTAGAGATATACCACACAACTTGCCCTTTTTTCTCCTTTTGGCTTGACAGATCATGGATGTCTTTTCAATTCAATATGTGTATCTCTAATTTAATCTTTTATTTTGATTATCTTTAGTGTGGCCATATGGTAATAGAGCAACCATTCTTTATCGATGAAGGTTATTTCTAGTTTGTGCTAATTCACAGAGTGCTAATTATCTTCTATACAGAATTTAATATGCTGATGTATTTTTGTGTATTTTTCTAGAATTAGATTTGCTGGTTCAAAATGCTTGTGCAGGGGCCTCCCTCGTGGCGCAGGAGTTAAAGTCTCAGTGCTATCAAGCTATATATTACCTGCCACTGCTGCATGAGATCGATCCCCCAGCCAGGGAGCTAACCCTTATGGTGCAGCGGACCTCTCCTGTCTCGCCCGCTGCTCCCCTCAGCAGTGTATTTCAATTGATCTGCCTGTTCTACTCCCAACTCTGTCTCTGGTGAATCTTCTCACTCCTCGCACCTCTGGCCTACACCCCAGTTCTTGTATGCATAAATAAATAAAAAGAAATCTTAAAAAAAATGCTTGTGCAGTTTAAATGTTAATAATTACTGCTCAGATTTTTTTTTTTTTTCCCATTGTAGTGGTGGCACATATGTTTTCTTCTGGGAGTTTCTATTGCTATATTTTCAGTTTTTTTGTTCTGTAATGTCTAATTTGTTTTTAACTCCATCCAGTTTATTTTTCTCAGACATTGTAGTTTTTATTCCTCTAAGTGTAAGTGTAAGTTGTCATTTTTATTAATGCTTATAAATCTCTACTTTTTAAACATAAAGAATACAGTAATAAGAAAATGTTTTGATGCTTTTATTTGCTAATTCTAACATCTGGGTCTCTAGGTTAATTGATTAATCTTTTCATTATGGGCCATTTTTTCCTCTTTGTTTGTATGCCCAGCCATTTTGATTAGACTCTAGACACTGTGAAATTTACACTGTGGGGAGCTGGAGAGTTTTGTTTTCCTATAAATATTCTTGGGCTTTGTTCTGTACATAATTAAGTTACTGATAAATAGATTTTTTTCCTTTGGCTCTAGGCATTAAGATTTGTTAGCCGTGGCTGGAGTAGAACCAGTCCAGAGCGAATTTGTCCCTCCTAGGGAGCCAAGACCCTTCTGTTTATCTTACTTGCTGTCCCATGACTCTTGGGGTTTTCTGCTGTAGCTGTTGGGAATAAACTGTATTTTGCCCCTGTTGGAGTGTTAGGAGCTCTTAATGTACTTTCCCCATCTCAGGTATTTGTTCAAATATATGTGCTGGTCAGTACTCAGCTGAATACTGTTGGGGACTCTTTGCAGATCTCTGGAACTTTCTTCTGCAGGTCTCACTTTTCTGAGATTCTTTCCTATGAGCTTTATATGTGTTGGTTTGTTCTCATTGTAGTGAGACTCCGAGGCTCTATCTGGATTTCCTTCCTTGCACAAGGACTTGGGCACTTAGTGATATGAGCTGGGGCATTGAGGGGCTCACCTTATTTGTTTCTCATCTCTCAGGAAGCACTGACCTTCACTAATGATGTACAGTATCTTGCAAATCATAGTTTCATATAAGTTGTCCTTTTCTTGGTTGTTTCAGTTGGAAGGGTAAAACTGATGTTATTGCGTCTGATCAGGAGTAGAAGTTTTTGATGTGAAGGATTACATAATAAGCTAGTCATTTTTTGTACATATAGACACCACTGGGACATTCAGTAAAAGACAGCATCATATCAGCCAAAGTGTAAATATTGCTTTTGTATTCTTTAGAGTTTGAAATCTCTGCAGATTTAACTGTCATGGTACATTTGTTAATGTATACCTAGGTCTTCTCTTTTTAAAGAAAGATAGTATCTCAAACAGGTATATAAAATAATCTTCATTGTAAAGTAATTTACAATTTTTAAAATTTCTGTTTTTATAATTAAAGGCAGCTATGAATGAGAGTAGCATTTTTGTACTTCCTTTTTTTCCCCTAGAGGCTGCAAAAAAGACATTTCAAGAAAAAGGGATCTTGGCAGGAGAAAATAGAAGTTATAAGCCTCACTTGACCTTCATGAAGTTGTCCAAAGCACCATGGCTCAGGAAAAAGGTGAGCAGACATTTTTATTGTAAGCCTTGTTTTACTGGCCACAACAGCCTTACGCAGGCTTGGAAGCATGGGTGACATTTGTAGTGGTTCTCAAGACCCTGGTACTGTTGCTCTTGGGATGCTATGTCAGTTTGGTTTCAATTCTCAGGAAGCTGAGTTGGCTTGGAGGCTGTTGCAGTGGTGCCCTCCTCTGCCATTGTGGCTCTGAGCCGCCGCATACCTGACTGTTGCTTACTGTGCTTTGTCTGCAGCCACATCTGCTTTATCCTGTGAAGAGCCTTGAGGCGGTGCCAGGCTTTTGTTTTGTTGTGTTCTTTGCTTATGGTGGTTTTTAGCCTGCTGTTCTCAGAGCTGCTGCTACTGGCCAGCATACACTGATGCTGGTTGCCGCACCTTCAATGTGGGACATGATTTTTTTTACCCCCCTTTATGTAGCTCTTCCAAGGTTTCGAAAGATCACCATGCTCTTACCAATTGCTCTCTAGTGAGGATTGGGAGCGAGTGATCCAGGTATTGGGCAAAATGGTAGCTGGGGACTCCCCAGCCCCCGGTCCTTCAGAGCACTTCTCCCTGAGTGGTCAGCAGTGACACAAGCCCAGGTGTAACAGGGTGGTCCCCAGGAAAGGGGGAGGTTCCCTGCCCCACCCAAGGGAGGATGGAGCTGAGCAGGAAGAGGAGAAGCTGCAGAAGAGACTGAGGAAGGAAGCAGGATGGAGCCAGGAGACCTGGAGGAGGCGCGTGGATCCTAGAGACATGTGAAGAAACTGCGCTTGTCTTTTGGTCGTGGACTGGGTGACACAGATGTGGGTGAGATCCATGGGGAGGTGACCATGGCAGCTTTTATCTTGATGTTGATTTTGCTCTTTTCCTTCTGGGCTTGCCCGCTTGTTTGGGTCCCTACTGGAAGATGCTTTAGACTTGTGGCAGGCTTTGGGGCTTTGCTCTGGGCCAATCCCATTTGGATGGACTTTTACCCACGAGGGGACGGGTAACCTTGGGTGCTTCATTTAGAAACTAGATTCTTTGCCTTACCTGTATTGTTTCCTAGTTTTATTAAAGTTCCTTCCCATTAAAGTCTCATATGTTTTGTGTTGATGCGGCGGATGGCAGAACCCATTTAGAATAGGCAGGTTTGCGGGGTTTGGGCTGCCCCTCTCCCTGTCCTATAACACAGGGACCTGTCTTTTGACTTTCTCTGTTTCAGGGTGACTTTCTACCTTCCCAGGCCACCTCCTTCTCCCTCAGACACTGCTCAGCGGTATTTTACTTTCTTTTGGATTCTTGAGTATTTCTTATAGTATCCTGACTGTTTTTCCTAGAAAATCCTAGGGATTTTCTCATGCAAATTAAGACAGCTGCCCTGTATATCAGAGTTTTGGAGATGGACATGCAGACTAGTATTCTCTCCTGTTCATGACACTTTGTGGCAATTGAGACTGGTTTACAGTTCCATAAATTAAGACTGTGTTTATTAGTAGGTAGGTCTTTTTTTTTGGTCCTTCAAAACATGGGCTTGTGTGATTGAGTGCCCTGCGATTATGCATTTTCTACAGACTGCTGTAAATATCTCCACAAAAAGATTATCTTACATGTTTCTTTTTTGTTTGTTTCTTGATAGCCATGCCACAGACTCAATGACAACTGTATTAGGTGTCATTCCAGAATATTTACATTAAAGTAATTTATGTAAATGACTTAGATTTTGAAATTTGGAATGAAAGTATCTGACACAACTTGTAGGCTGTAACCAAAAAGTTTACTTTTTTACTCTTTCTTGTTTTTTTTTTTTTTTTAAGATTTATTTATTTATTTATACAAGCACTGGGTACATTCAGAAGCGCAGGAGGGTGAGAGAATTCACCAGAGCAGAGCAGACAGACTGACGAAATATACTGCTGAGGGGAGCAGCGGGCAGCAGGAGAGGTCTGTGCGCCATGTGGGACCCTTGCCTGGCAGCTGGGAATGGAGCCAGCGCTGCAGAGGCTATGGGCAGCTTCGCAACCCAGCGCTCAAGGGCTGTGCCAGCAGGGAGGCCCTACTCTTTCTTGTTTTGCTTTCAAATGGATCATCCTCTTCCCAGGTGTTTCACACCTAATCACAGAATAACAAATCAGTGGTAAAGATAATATCCACATTTCATAATGTGTTTCTTTGTCTTTAAATGTTAATTTTGAAACAAGAGCACCCAAGGACATTTATTAAAAGAATATTTAAGCTGTTACAGACTCTTTCAGTATTCAGACTGAATATAGATTCCTTGGCATTAACTTCACAGAATCTGTTCCCTTATTTTATCGAAAAGCAAGAAAGGTTGAATGACTTCAAAAGATTGAATGATTGAAATGAGTTCATACTGTCCTCAGTTCTAGAGCCCTGTCTAGAGTTTATCTTATCTCCTTCTCAGCCTCATAGTCTTTGCTCCCGTTGGCCAAGTCCAGTTCACCCAAATTCATTTCTGTATGTCAGCAGCTCTCTATTCCAAATCATATTATTTCAATAAGTATTTATTTTTTTCTTTTATGTTGTTTTTAAATTTATTTTTATTATTTTTTAAATTTTTATTTTATATGTATTTTACATTATTCTTCCTTTTTGTGCAATGCATGCTTTCTCCTCTCAGGTGTAGTCCCCATAAAATTCCCACCACCAGTTCACCCGTGCACCATTACATAGTCCCTTGTGTGTTTTGATCCTACATTCCCTCCCCTGTTTTGATCCTACTCCCTCCCCCATCCCTGCAGAGTGTCTCTGATTAATAGTTGCCTGTTGATTTTGTTTTTTAATTTATTATAATTGTTTTTTTTCCTGGTCTCTTATTTGGCTCCCTTACATTTCTCCTATAAGTGAAACTATCCGATTTTTCTTTTTCCTTCTGGCTTAATTCACTGAGCATAAACCCTTCTGGTTCCATCCTGTTGCGGTGAATGGATGAGTTTATCTTTTTTGATTGATGAATAGTATTCCATTGTGTATATATACCACATCTTCTTGATTCGGTCATCTACTTTTGGGTATTTGGGTTGCTTCCATATCTTACCTATTGTAAATTGTGCTGCTGTAAACATAGGGGTGCAGGTATCCTTTTATTTCAATAAGTATTTATTAAGTGTGTGCCATGTGCTAGACACCAGGGGTTGGGCTACCTGTGGTGCTTGTTGATACTGCAAATTTTTACCCTATAGACCTTGCCTTTTGATATTCAGTAGGTGCCACTGATGATTCTGATCCACATCATCTGCAGAGTAGCACATTCTGAGATCTGCGGGCTTAAATAAATATTCAGCATTTTTTTTAATGTGGCAAATTTTTAGTTGCTTTGTAAAAGTTAAAACCAATATAAAAAGGTAGCATACATAAAAGTAGATTTTTAGTATGCTTTTTGGTTTAGAATGCAGATTATTTGAGGATATGTGGTCCTTCAAACTCTTGCTTCCTAGTTTTTTTACATTTGCCTTTGTTCTCTCCTAGCACTATTTTCTTCTAGGTTTTTATTCTGAATCCACCAATTACAAGGAAGTTAACATTGATAAAGAGTGTAATGGAATGTATTGCTAACTATCAGTGTTATTTAGATTGACAGTGAAATAAAGGAGAGAGAGGAAGATAAGAGATAAAATATTGTTTCTTTCCACTCAAATATTAGGAAATCTGTCTCATTTCAAGTACGTTAATTTTTATTTTAAAAGTTATTTTATTATAAAAGTAATGATTGAATGTATGTTCATTGTAAAAAATCTAAATATATGCAAACTGTAGAATAAAAGATACAATTTCTTCCTTATCATCACCCTGCTTCCCTCTTGTTCCCAATATAATTTCTCTCTTCAGGTAACCACTTCTATTGTATTCCCCCCTACCTTTTCCTATACACTAAAAGAAGACACATAAAAGTAGAGCCGTATTATATATATTATTTTTATTTATTATATTTAAATTTCTCCTTTGATGATTAGATTAATTTCTGTTTCTTTGCTACCACAAACAATGCTATAGTGGACAGATGTCTTCATTTTTCTTTGGGCTGATAGCTAGTATCTCAAAGAACCAACTCCTTCAAGTAGAATTCCAAGATCAAAGGGTATTGTATATTTTAGTTCTTCAAAAATACTGCAGATTACCTTTTAAAGTGGTGATGTCAGTTTATACTTCTAAACATGCTATTTGAGAGGAACATTTGTTAGGGTGACCTTGAGGTGGAAGGCTCATTAAAGGTTACATACAATGTCTCCTAAATTAGCTATGAATTAAACAAGTCACATAAAAATGAAAGTATTCATATTCTTTAAGAAATTAATGCTTCTGAGAATATCCTAAAGAAATAATTTAAAAGAAGAAACTTTTATGTAGAAAGATGGTTATTGAAAAGTTCTAAAATGACTTCCAGAACAATAAGGGAATGTTTAAGTCATTCATGATAAATTACAGACTGATTTAAGAAGTCATTAAATAGATATGTATAAGGATTGTGTAGTCGCCTGAGAGGAAATGTAGAATGCATAACATTGTATAAAAGTAGCTTCCTTAGATTTACCTTGCAGCACCTAATGTGCATCCATGCCTTCTAAAGGTAAAAAATTAATTCCCTCAATTGTTCTTTTAGCTCATGATTTTTCTGATGGATCATTAACTAGGGCTGTCTGTAATGTCACCCAGAATATAATAAGTCATCCTTTATTTATACAGAAGTAGTTTTGTATAATTCAGAGCTATTTTGATTATTGCTATGCTTTCAAAGTTGTAGTTTTTAATCAAATGAATGAGGACTCAGAAAACCTAAAGTTATGATGTCTCTGAAATTGTAACTAAAATTTGAGTTATTTGTGTGGTTTCCTTAGAATATATTTGTTCAACTCCTGTGTTTTGGATTTACTTTTCTCATTGAAGGACATTGCCATTTAAACATTCCAGAAACTGTTTGATTAGAAGTGTGTGCTAACACTTGGTGGCAGAAGAAGACCAACTTCAAATCAAATAAGTATCACTGTAGATCTAGACTGCTG